GAAACTGTTCTTAACCTGAAGCACCACTTTAGCTAATGGGGCCTCCTGCTGCCGCCACACCGCCGGAGCCCGATTTCTGTTCTCATCCTGAAGCAAAGCTCTTAACCTGAAGCACTATTTCTGGGTTAACGGAGTCTGTAACCTGAAGCGTATGAAACCTGAGGTACCACTGTAAATTCATACTTCTGCACCCATGGTTCTCTATTTCCTAGTACAGTGGTACCTCGGGTTAAGAACTTAATTCGTTCTGGAGGTCTGTTCTTAACCTGAAACTGTTCTTAACTTGAGGTACCACTTTAGCTAATGGGGCTTCCCACTGCCACCGCACCGCCGGAGCACAGTTTCTGTTCTCATCCTGAAGCAAAGTTCTTAACCCGAGGTAATATTTCTGGGTTAGCGGAGTCTATAACCTGAAGCCTATGTAACCTGAAGCGTATGTAACCTGAGGTACCACTGAACTGACATGGTAGACACCATTTTATTGTCTTAAAAGTAATTTGTAAACCAGAAGCGTTCCTTCTTGGGATTTTAACTAATGATATACCAAGAGAAAGATTATTTCTATACACAGCTACGGCAGCTAGAGTACCTGAAATATACTCAGAGTCGCAAAGTGATTTCATGCTCTTTATTCAGCTCATAGTGGTGAGGAGGAATGAATGAAAGTCCCCTCAAAGTATCTGCTTTATATACATTATTTACACAATGGGCTGCACATGATTGGCTAATTCTGGAATTCTACTGTAAGCCAATCAGGTTGTGGATTCACTTCTATCTGGAGCATGATTGGGTGGTTCCTGCCAGCCAATCATACTGCTGCATTGTTCTAGGACCAATCAGACTGCTGCATTCTGAATCCTATTCAACTCAGTACATAACAGTACCAGTAGCCAAGTACTGGAAAAGTGAACAAATCCCTACTAGAGTAGAATGGGAATTAAAGTTAAGTGAGTACTTGGAACTCACAAAAATGACCAAATTATTAAGGAATAAACCAATTGATATAGTCCAAAAGGAGTGGGAATGCTTTAACACTTATCTAATGAGATAAGGTTCAACAAGCAAATTTGGTTGTGCCTAAAATAAATCCGTAAATAGTAAAAAATGTTTCCTTATACCAAGATGAGGACATGAATTGAAATACAGGGAAAAACTGTATCAGATAGATAGAATGAATCATGGTGAGATAGAAGGAAGTTGAAAATAAATAAAATAACAAAAGAGATCTATTCCAAAAGGGAAAGTACTTTGTTTGAGAACTGATGTTTTGGGATAGTATTGTATAGTTAATTTCACTTCATTTTTGTCCATGTTTTTTTCCCTTATTGTTTCTGTTCTTGCTTTGTTTCTTTGTTTTCTGTAGATTTGTTTGTTATGTCGAGTCTTCTTTGTATTTGCACAAAACTCAGTAAAAAAAAGTAATTTGTAAATTGAGACTGTCAGGTAACCAATTGGTGGGAAAGGGACTTCAGTACCCTGGTTAATCATTAGACAAAGTGATAAAAAATATAGTTGAATGCAACTGTGTTTTACACAGCTTGTCATAGATTGCCATCTTTAATTTGTGAGAAATGTGTTAGATGATTAATCAGGCTGATCAGTCAATAAATGTTTTCCGTCCCCTATGCATGTTTTGTAGAGAATCGCCAAGGAAGCCAATAAATAACCGCTTATTAACATGACAACAGGCTGATTTCTGTCAGTCCTGGGCCACCTCACTGGGAACTTTGCTTAGGGATGGAAGTATAGTCAGGACAACGGAGCTGAAACACAGACCCTCTGGTGGACTGAATTGATGGTCCATTTATGCAGAAGACATCTACCAGCACAGTTCCCCATCCCATGGAGCAAGGTTGGCTCTACCATTAGGCAAAGGTGACTACCTTGGACTGCAGCTACTGAGGAATCGTGCTGGCAGAGCATTCCCACCACAACTACAGCAATGGGACAAAGCACACCCACCCTCGACTGTCCTGAGAAAACTCCCCAATCCTGATTGTATTCTATTCTTCGGAAGGTTTACAAGAAGAAAAATAAATAAATAAATCTTAGAAAAGCTCAAGATTAGACATGGAAGTCAGCTACATTAGCACAAGAAAAGGGCATTTTAAATGTGTTATAAACATGCAACCCCAGATGGCGCTGTAGAGCACAAAACTTTTCTATGCGATTTTACATATTGTTTTTCTTTTATTTTGATATAACGATTTAATTTATAACTTATTTATAGCGTGTTTTTTCCTGCGGGTAGATCCACCCATGGATGCAGAAAGCATTTTTTTATATAAAAAATCAAGACTCCTTATGCTCTACTCTGCTTCCTCTTTCTTCCTGCCCAGAGCGGCCCTGTCCTCTGCTTGCACCTCAGAGCTAGAACATCACAAGAGGCTGGGCCTCAGCAGCAGCAGCCACTACTCCTCCTCGCCTGGTGTCGAGCAGCTGCTATGAGCTGCCCAAGGGAGGAATCCGGCAGCAGCAGCCACAGAGAGATCGTGGAGAGGCAATGGGATGCTCCCTCACAGCTGCCACTGCTAATAATAATAATAATAATAATAATAATAATTTTATTATACCCTGCGCTTCCCGGTTTAAAAACTGGGCTCAGGGCAGCTAACAGCAAATATAAAACACTGATTAAAATGTGACTTAAAAACAGCATAAAAACCGCATAAAATACAACATAATGCAGCATCAATAAAATTCAAAAATTCAGGGGTCATTTTAGGAGGGGGGAAACCCCAATCAGTAAGCCTCAAATGATCACCAGGGCTAACTGGCCAAGTTGGTCCTACTAAGGCCAGAAAGGAGACCAGGGAAGAGTTTAAATGTGGGATTCTAGAAGGGTTTCTTCATGGAAAAGGGGATCAGGCTAATTCAAATTGAAGGCCAGGCAGAATAGCTCTGTCTTACAGGCCCTGCGGAATGAAATCAAGTCCTGCAGGGCCCTAGTCTCATGGGACAGAGCATTCCACCAGGTTGGAGTCGTCACTGAAAAAGCCCTGGCCCTGGTGGAGGATAGTCTGGCTTCTTTACGGCCCGGGGCTGCCACTGGCGCTGCTGCCACTCAAGGGAACTGAAAGGGAGTCGGAAGCAGAGGCAGATTTAGGGGAGCGCAGCCCTTTCAGTCACACTGGCTACAGAGCCTTGCAGGTGCTGCCAGAGGCGGAGCTAGCTGCTATGGCACCTGGAGCGGCGTGCACCCGGGGGCGGGGCTAGCCGCCCATGGGGATGGAGCTGGCATCCCAGGGGGCAGGGCGAGCGTCCCAGGGGCGGGGCACACATCCCAGGGGGGTTGGGCGAGCATTCCAGGGGGTGTGCCGGCCACCTCGCATGTCCCGGGGGTGCCACCTGCAGCGTTCTGGGTGGGTGGTGCCCGTGACGAGCATCGGGGGCGGCACGGCGATGTCACCCCCCCTCAGGGATGGCACCCGGGTGGACCGCACCCACCTCTCCCATCTTTCTCCATCTCTGGGTGCTGCAGGAGACACCACAACTATTATATAGAATGAATAGCAAGAGGTTAAGGGGGGCAAATTTTGGCATTGCACAGGACACTGCTGAAATTTGAGACTGTTGGAGGGCAGTTAAGACAGCAAACAAGGAGAAGAAGTGGAACATTTTTGTCACCTGTTCAAGGCTTTGTTTTATTCACCTGGGATTTTCAGGTTGTTTAGTTTCCTGCTTGCTTATTTACATGCTTCATGTTTAGTAAAGTGTGCGTTTTTTATTATTAATCTCACTTCCCCTACAAAATTATTTTGTAAACCACTTTGAGAGGCTGTATACCTGGAAAACAGTACAGTGGTACCTTGGGTTAAGTACTTAATTCGTTCCGGAGGACTGTTCTTAACCTGAAACTGTTCTTAACCTGAAGCACCACTTTAGCTAATGAGGCCTCCTGCTGCCGCCATGCCGCCGGAGCATGATTTCTGTTCTCATCCTGAAGCAAAGTTCTTAACCTGAAGCACAATTTCTGGGGTAGCGGAGTCTGTAACCTGAAGCATATGTAACCTGAAGCGTATGTAACCTGAGGTACCACTGTATACAAAAGCCTTAAAATAAATCTCTCAATGCCTCACAGGCTCTTGAAAAGACTGAAGGTCTCCAGAGATACATCATTTTCGCTCTTCACCTGAGATCAACTGTAGTACCCTTTCCCACAGCCAGCTCACTCATATTTGTGTTGGAACATGGAGGGAACTTTCTGAGACCTCAGAACTGAACCCCCCCCCCAAAAAAAAAATGTGCTTTGACATCAATGGAGTCCACAAGCAACTGGAGAAGAGGGAACCAAGAATGGACCAAGCTGGAGAACATGTGAAGATTGAAGCTTACAAATTAGGAGTAAGAAGTGTAGAAACCACTTTGTTCAGCAGAGAAATAGTCTTTTCAGAAACCAAAACTGAAGTAGGCCTGAACACAGGACAACATCAAATGGCTATGGTTATTTCTATAGAAGAACAGCTGGAACAGCTGGATGTTAGGAGTCGAAAGGGACTTGACTTACTGCATGGGAAGAGAAAATACAAGCCCCCAGCCCTGACCATCTGTCCATCACAGGAGAAAGAAAAGAAAAGAAAAGAAAACCATGAGGTATAAGCATTTTCCTTTTGGAACATGTCTGCCACAGCAGCCTGATTTGTCCAGGAAAAAATACTATAAACAGTGTGTGCCGTTCATGTCTACTCCTACCTCCCATTGCAATTACCACTCCACTTAACATGGAAGTTGGTACCACATAAAACAGACGAGAGTTTCCCTAAGATTCTTGTGTATATTTGCACGGAGATACTTGGCAAATTCCTTTTCAAGAAAAGACAGTTTTAAAAATTGGCCTTGAACATGAGATCTGTAAATGGAAGGAGGTTTTGCTGCTGCCTCCTGCTACAGCCTCCTAAAAAGCCTCTCAATGTTCTGGAGTCATCCTGAGAGGGACAGAATCACAGAGTTGGAAGGGACCACAGGGATCATCTAGTCAACCCCTCTGCAATGCATGACTCTTTTGCCCAATGTGGGGCTCGAAGCCACAACCCTGAGATTAAGAGTCTCATGCTGTGCCAACTGAGCTATCCCACATCACCAAAGCACATGTGGGGCTGCAAAGGGAATTTTTGCTGTTCCTGTTATTTAGTAGCATTGATTGTTGTTGTGGGTGGTAGTCCTAATAGTATTCTTCTTGCCGGTTGTTGCTGCCATTGCTAATGTATATTATAATTTACCATATTTTTCGCTCTATAGGACGCACTTTTTCCCCTCCAAAAATGAAGGGGAAATGTGTGTGCGTCCTATAGAGCGAATGCAGGCTCCTTGGCTTCAGCGATAGCAACGCGAAGCCTCCAAAGCGCAGAGGGAGCTCTGCCTCCGCGCTCCGGAGGCTTCACGTTGCTTTCGCTGAAGCCTGGAGAGTGAGAGGGGTCGGTGCGCACCAACCCCTCTCCTTCTCCAGGCTTCAGGGATAACCGCCTGGAGCCTTTGGAGCGCAGCGCGAGTTCCTGCTGCGCTCCAAAGGCTTAAGGTGGCTATCAGCGACACGCCTGTCATGCGAAGCCGGAGAAGGAACAGAAGGGTCTCCTTCTGTTCCTTCATCCCGTTGCCGTGAAGAGGCTTGGCGCGGTTATCCCAGAAGCCAGAACAGCCACACGGTATCCCAGAAGCCAGATCCCTCTTGCTGTTCTGGCTTCTGGGATTCAGAATAATTTTTTCTTGTTTTCCTCCTCCCAAAACTAGGTGCGCCCTATGGTCCGGTGTGCCCTATGGAGCGAAAAATACGGTAGTTATTGGTTGGTGGCATTGTTACCTATTTCTGCTATTTACATTGTGCTTTCATTAACTTATTTATTAATTAATTTATAAACCACTTCCCAGCTAAATGTTTCCAAAGCGATGTACAATAAACAAAATGTATGATAGAAATAAATACACAGCAGTTTAAAAGCAAAAAAGGTTTTCAGTATATTTGGATTAGATGTGTACATTATTATACACATACCAATTTCGTGACATTCAGATTCACAACCCTTCTATGATGTCTTGATCTATGTACAGTCATACCTCGGGTTATAGCCATTTCAGGTTGCACTTTTTTGGGTTGTGGACTGCTGAAACCCAGAAGTACCGGAATGGGTTGCTTCTGGGTTTCGGCAGTCGCGCATGCACAGAAGCACTAAATCGTGCTTTGCGCATGCACAGAAGGGCAGAATCGCGACCTGTGCGTGCGCAGACGCGGCGCTGCGGGTTGCGAATGTACATCCTGCACGGATCACGTTTGCAACCCGAGTGTCCACTGTATTCTCTTTGGGATCTTTTGATCAGTAGCGAAGGAAGCTGCTCGGGCGCCTGGGGTGGCGTGCCCAGGGACAGGGCGCACCACAGGACCTCCGGAGTCTGCCTGCCTCCTACTACTTAGCCGCCCTACAGCTGGGGGGGAGGCAGCAGGCAGACCGTTCGGGGCAGAGTGGAGCCTGCGGGCACCCAAGCCACCGCATCACTCCCAGGAGAGACGCATTGCTCGGGCGCATTGCAGGCCCCGCGGTGAGTGCCACCCAGCATTTTGTCACATACACTCCCCCAGTGGTGACACCTGGGGCGGACCACACCCACCGCACCCCCCTTCCTCCACCCCTGCTTTTGATACATATGTATCAAAACACGCACATTTAAGTGTGTTTCATGCGCAAGGGTCACACACTGCTTATGGCTCCTTTTGGACTTAGAACAGTATCTTCTCCTTCCTCCATGAAATATGAACTCCACTCAGTTGTCACAGGCTGGTCCATACTATTAAAAAGTGTAACACAGAGACTGCTAAAGGCGCATGCCTGAGTTCCACTTCCCTCCAACATTATAATTTAAGGTGTCTTTGCATGGCTTCTGCTAGAAGTGAAACTGCAAGCAACACCAAGCATGAAAGATGTGCTGATGGGCGTGCACACAGGAGAAAGAATGAGAAGTTAGGTTGTCTCCTCCATTAGCAAGGGTCAAGGCCTAGTTCACACATACGCATGTAAATAATTTTGTGTGGCCTTCCAACCTAAAGTGAGTATGAGTGTATGCTTGAACACCCATAATACAACTCCTTGCAAGTAGGAAACATGCTCAGCCAAGAGAAGGGACATTTACTTCTATATATTTGTGTAATTCTATAAAGATGAACTATAAGTATTTCTTTATAATCACCTCTACATTTGTAACCTTTGGAGATACTCCTGAATCTTCTGTTTTCCCATAGGTGAAAATCAGTGATTTTGTGGTACTTGTACATCGTTTCAGTTGTTCTGTTGATGTAGATATTTACACGACCGCCAGATTATTTTTAAGTAATAAAAGCAGAACACCACATGTATGGGCAGTCCACAATATTAGCTGTGCACAAAATAAAGTATTCCAGTATGTACATTTCTTTCCAATCCGGCATCACATTTTTCAGCTGCCCACATCCCTTAACTGTTAAATATATTGGAATTTGATACTTCTTTACATCTGGCCATTTTGCCAAAATCTTTCTCAATTATATGGGAATTCTATCCTTCCTTCCATCTGGTCATTTTAAAGTTTATGCATTTTACAGGGCAATCCTATGCATGTCTACTTAGAAGTAAGTCTCATTGGGTGCAATGAGACTTATTCCCAGGTCAGCAAGTGCAGGATGGCTGTCTTAGACATTTATGGATCCATTGGGATATGGAATTTTGGAATGAATGAACTCTGTTCTCATTTGCACTGATGATCTGGAGAGGGAAAGAAAGCCAGGAGCCTGCCACATTCAAATAGCTTAAATGGGAAGAAATGAATTTAATATAGCTGCTAAGAGCTTTTATGTGCAATGGTGTTTATAATGGAACTCCTTTATTTGAACTATTGCATATGATAGAGATACCGAAGAGAATCATCTTGGTGGGCAATGGTGGAGAGAATTGGCTCATGAAGTATGAGAATAAAACACCAGCTGGAATTTCTTTCTAAGCATTTGGCTCGCTAACAATGGAAAGACCTTTCGGTGACCTGAACTAGATCAGCTGTTGAAAAGCAACTTGTAGCATCTGAACAGAATTCAAAAGCTATTGCTGAACTCCTTTGCAGTACTGACTGGCACCCAAAAAGTTCAAGTGCTCCAGTAGAATACCTCTCTTATTGATTTCAAGTAGTGCAAATTAAACAACATATCTTGGTTGGATTAAATGCAATGTTCAAAAGGGAACACGAATTGCATTGCATACTCAAGAGGGCTCTGGACATGAATACAAATTAGAGAAGCATAAGGACAGTAAGAGAAGAGCGCAAAATATGGTCTGAAGCTCAACATCAAAAAAACCAAGATCATGGCCACTGGGCCCATCACCTCCTGGCAAATAGAAGGGGAAGAAATGGAGACAGTGAGAGATTTTACTTTCTTGGGCTCCATGATCACTGCAGATGGTGACAGCAGTCACGAAATTAAAAGACGCTTGCTCCTTGGGAGAAAGGCGATGGCAAACCTAGACAACATCTTAAAAAGCAGAGACATCCCCTTGCCAACAAAGGTCCGTATAGTAAAAGCCATGGTTTTCCCAGTAGTGATGTATGGAAGTGAGAGCTGGACCATAAAGAAGGCTGTTCGCCGAAGAATTGATGCTTTTGAATTATGGTGCTGGAGGAGACTCTTGAGAGTCCCATGGACTGCAAGAAGATCAAACCTCTCCATTCTGAAGGAAATCAGCCCTGAGTGCTCACTGGAAGGACAGATCCTGAAGCTGAGGCTCCAATACTTTGGCCACCTCATGAGAAGAGAAGACTCCCTGGAAAAGACCCTGATGTTGGGAAAGATGGAGGGCACAAGGAGAAGGGGACGGCAGAGGATGAGATGGTTGGATAGTGTTCTTGAAGCTACCAGCATGAGTCTGACCAAACTGCGGGAGGCAGTGGAGGATAGAAGTGCCTGGCGTGCTCTGGTCCATGGGGTCATGAAGAGTCGGACACTGTGAATGGTTTCAGAACTCACAGAGTTAAAGAGTTCTGGTGACGTCTCTTTCCTGAGGCGTGGTTAGAAACACTTAAGGGAGGGGTTTGACTCCGTGTGTTTCAGTCTGACTTTCGGACGTGATGCGAAAGGGAGAATGTGTCAGTTCTCGCCAGGTCTGAATTTATGATGTTATTCTTCATGATTAAAAGGCAAGAGTAGATAAGGACTGCCTTGTGTCTGGACTGATTTATTCCACACGTGCTGCACTCTGCTTCTCACCGCTGTGTTTCGCTCTGCTACCGGCAAGAGAGAGAGGCCTGAGGAGGACTTTTGCAGGAAGCACGGATAGCTTGCAGAGTTCCGCAACGGAAGCGTGCCGGGCTCCATGTTCAGTCTCTGTGTACCCTCTTGTCCGGTGTAAATAATTCCAACAGGTTATGGGCCCAGCACGCTTCCGAGAAGGCAGGTCTGGCGCAGGCAGCTCCACCGGTTGCAGAGGTGGGGGGGGCAAGCCAGATGAGAGCTGTGTTCAGGCTTTTTCCACTCGTCGATGTTATGTCTGTGGATCCAACAGCCATCTAAAACGGGCTTGTCCGCAGAAGAGCAGAGAGGCCGGGCTGGATGTCTCCAAGGTCAACCAGCTGAGTTCTCATGGGAACCAGTCTCGGAGAGGAGGCCAGCGTGGGAACGCGAAGGAGGGACGTGACTCAGAGAAGGGAGACTGTTATCATCTCGCGGCTTCTCTGGCAACTTTGAACAACAATGCCAGCAGGGACACAACTATGAAGTGGGTGCTGGACTCAGGAGCGAGTCATCACCTGATAACGCCATCTGCTGGGGAGCTGCAGAATTGCAGGGCTGTTTTAACTGGAATGACTTGTAAATTTGCTGACGGGAAAAAACGAAATGTATCTAAAGTGGCAAATGTCTATAATTCTGTTTTGCAGGCTGAGCTGGAGTGCTTCATTGTACCAGGGATGAAGTGTTGCCTGTTATCGGTTTCTGCTCTGGCGAAGCAGGGATACAAAATTTGTTTTGAAAATAACACCTGTTCCATTTTCAGAGGGGGAGGCAACTTGTCAACGTGGAGAGCAAGGACAATCTCTTTGTTCTGGAAACACCTCTGGAGGGTGGTG